AAGAAGAAGAAGAAGAAGAAGAAGAAGAAAAAGAAGAAGAAGAAGAAGAAGAAGAAGAAGAAGAAGAAGAAGCATTAACATCTATACTGTCTCACCACTCTCATGCATTTTGTTTCTGGGCTCTCTGTGTCCTTTCCCTGACCCCCTATGTCCGTTTCCCTAACCCTCTATCTTCGTTTCCCTGACCCACAGACTCCTGGAGGGCGGGGCAGAGAGCGGGTTCCGACAGGTCAAGCCGGAGGAGTATGTCCCACGTCTGCTGCACTTCCACGGGGACAGGTCTGGGGTGACCGTCAAGCAGGTGGGTCAATATGACATTGTCAGGTGGATCAATATGATATTGTTCTATCTTAGAGTTGGTCAACAGGTGGGTCAATATGACATTCTCAGGTGGGTCAATATGACATTGTCAGGTGGGTCAATATGATATTGTCAGGTGGGTCAATATGACATTGTCAGGTGGGTCAATGTGACATTGTCAGGTGGGTCAATATGACATTGTCAGGTGGGTCAATATGACATTGTCAGGTGGGTCAATATGACATTGTCAGGTGGGTCACTAATTGTGTCAGGACGCGGTGGAATGAGGCGCTCGTCAACTTTTGAGCATATAATATAATATAACATAATATAACATAATATAACATAATATATAAATTACACTTTTGTTTGTCCCGGGAGGGCACTTTGGTTTACAAGGGCAAACATCCATTTACATACATAAATACATACTTATAGATATGTACATACATAAATACATGAATAAATACATGCATAAATACACAATATTACACAGATACAGAACTGATGCTACTGTCGGTCGTCACTGTGCAGCGCCCTGTGCAGCATATGAGGTTATTGGTATCAGTTTAGAACCTGTTCATTTGCATTCCTTTTGGTGAAAAAATATCCATCTATGTTGAATAGCAGTCGAAATATTTGTTATTGAAGGAGGTGGGGGTTGCCTGATTCCGAAGTAAAATACGCGAGAAAATGGTCACCAATGTTTGATAACTTGCAAAGCTTGAGAGTCCTTGGAAACTGCATAATAATCATTTACATTTTATTGTGCCTTAAATCATAGCTTTTCAGTATATTCCACACTTAAATATGTTTTAATGAACCTTAAAGGCGTTGAGTAAAAAAAAAAAAAACTAACTTAAAAATAAATAAATTACCAAACAGGCGGGAACATGCCAGTTTCTTTAATTTCCTTATTTTGACGAACGTCTGATTCACCATAATGTCACAAATATGACATTGCTCTACCTTAGATTTACAAAGTTCTATCGGATATTTTCGGCCGTTTTGAGTTACAAAGACCCTGAGGGCGGAAACCAAATTACATGTTCGAACTTCTTAACCAAATTCGTAAGATTATTCGAAGTTGTAATCAGGATATTCAAAGTATTGTATTTGAAAAAGCTTGTAGTGTTGTGAAACTCAAATCTTTTGACGTCATACATGTATTTCTCAAGGCGAGGCGCAGATATAACTTAGTAATTTTAGGGGAGCGACTGGTCAGCACACATTTTGTGGCATTAGGGTTAGACTTGATTTACGCTAATTTGGGGTCTATAACCCCCCCCCCCCC